CCAGAGCCACCAATCCCAGACTCTCCTCAAGTGTCTTTAATCCACTCTGCCCTCCCTCTGCCAGAGCCCGAGATAAGGGGCTACAAATGAAATTTTGCGTGTTGATTCTTTAAGAGTCTTTCTGCATCTCCAGGAGTCTCTTCTTGGCAGACAGAAACCTTGCTGCTTTTCACAGCTAGATGTTATCCAGCTTCCTTTCTAGCTCCAGTGCTGTAGGCTGGGGAGTCCAACTTGGGGTTTAGATCCTACGCTTCTCAAGGGGAACCCCCCCCCCCCCAGCCACTGGAATATCTCTCCGGAACTTCCGCTGCAGCCCGTAGGAGCCCAGCCAGCCCTCTAATGTCTCTTCACTCCGTATCAGTCATGTTATGGTGAAGTGGTTTCTTCTGTCTGTCCAAGGTTATAAGGCTTCTCTCCAGCTAGTGTTCAGTTGGTTATTCAGGATGATTTCTCTGCAATTTAGTTGTAATTCCAGATTAGTCCTGGGAGGAGGTTAGTATAGTTTCCACATACTTCTCTGTCATCTTGGATCTGTCTACATTCTGGATTTTAGAGTCAGGGGTTCCATATTATCAAATCCCTTCTCAAGAGAAATTATATCATTTTTAGTCCTGCCAACTTCTAGGAAGACTATGTTGTCTTAGGACAAGGGTAGACCCTCTTGGGTATGAAGCATAATTCTTCAGCTTAATTTTATATGGTCCTGAGGGAAGTAGTAAAAATGTCATTTCTCTGTATACCTACAGTTGCAAAAATGCAACACTACCTTATTAATAGCTTTTAGTAACACTATCCTAGATGGTCACAAGGTGGAGTTATTATTCTATCCAAGATGCTTTTGTGTTTGGCTTGCCTCTTTTTCTACGACATATTTTTTATTTGTATTTTTAAATGAAAGTTTGCTTATAAAACATATTGGAGACACTCATCTTGTGATAAGTTTTCACCTAGTTTCTTGTCTATAAAATTCTCCTGACTTGAGCTTTACACTTTTAACAATACGTGTCACTAGTATTGATGTTTCTGTCTTACATTTTAAATTTTGAGTTTCAAATTTGGTCTTATATCTTGTTAAGTTTCTTTCTTCTTAAAAAAAAATCAGACACACCAAAAAGTGTAATGAAAGATTGTCCAAAAATACTTATGCCCTGATCTTTTAAAAAATTATTTAAAATCAATTTCTTACTTATATACATTAAGACATAGATACAGTTTTGTTGCCAGTTCTTTCAAAGTTCCTCCCTAGCCCTGTTTGGTAGTACAAAGACCTTTTTTTGGTTGTTTCGGGGAATGAGGGTTTAGGGATACTCCCTAAGGGCATGAAGTAAAGATACTCAGCAGTTGTTAGTAACCCATCTTCAGGTACCTAACTAGTGGCTGTCACACACATGGGTGACCCTTTCTGAATTCTAGGCTGGGTCACGTGTTAGTGCTGAATGACGTGGGTCAGACATGATGTTCTCCTGCCTGTCCACACATAACTCAGCGTGCAGACTCTGATATTTGAGATCCTGGCAAGCTTACTGCTCCTAAAATTGAATTAGCTTAGTGAGGTGGCTCAGTTTCTCTTTTCCATGATAAAACAAGAGGGTTGGACCTGTTAAAAAAATTTTTTCCACAAGCTGAATATCCAGCCTGTTACGTTGTGTTATAACTCTGCTACCTTTCCAAGAAGTCAGAATTCTCTCAAGTTTTGGTATTTTCCCTACACTTAGAAGTTCATGGGTGTAAGAAGACAGAGTAAAAATAAAAGAAGGAAGTTTTAGATCTTGAGACACAGGAGAATGGCTTAATTCTCACCACTGCCCAGCAAAGGGGAGATATAATATAGACTGATTGTGATGTCAAAGACTTAAAAATAAAAAGACTTAATATTGTATTTTTTTTTCTTTTTAATTTTCTACCCCTTGTGACACCCTCACCCATACTCCTCCCTTCTTCCCTGGTTCACTTCTAATAGAACCACTGAATAGTATTCAAGTGGTTATAAATAAACTGATTTGGCATAGTCATTCTACCGCTGACTGGCAAAACACTGAGCCTGACACTTTAGGAAGTGTAAATGATCTCATGGCAGAAATAAAGATTAGATTTGGTTTCTTACTGGACCAAGTAAGGACATTTTTTTGAGGAAAGGTGCTGATCTCCTTAGTATGTTGAAACATATTAAATGTTTTATGAGGTCTGTAGGTTAGAGCCAGTTACTGCTAGAGGTACCTTTGTAGCTCTGGGAGGTACTTTGGAATTCTTATGCCTTGAATTAAAGTCTTTATAACAAAGTGGAATATGTAAGAGAGGACAATTTTCTGTGTTTTAACCATTTCCAGAATGCAGAGATGTAAATGTCTCTTGGACTTTAAATAGTCTCCTCTTCCTTCTTAAAGGTCGAAGGAGGCTTTTTTAAAAAAAATGTAATCATGTAATTATGGCAATGTTTTTTATAGTAACAGTGAGCATAAGTAAAAATTTATCTGAATAAAATGAAGAATTTAAACACCACCTGAGTTTCATTAGAGGAAACTAATCTTCCTTGAAGCAGTCATTAAGTGAAGCATACTATACCATACTAGAACAGTCCTAATCTGCATTCATAAATATTTATTGGACATTAGTTCTCATTTCAGCTTTACAACATGCTCCTCTCTCCACCTTTTTTTATTTAGGTAGAATTCATATAACATAAAATTCACCATTTTAGTCATTTTAATGTATACACTTCAGTGATTTTAAATATAATCACAATATTATGCATGTATCACCACCATGTCATTTCCAAACATTGTATCTCTCCAGAAAGAACCTCCGTACCCTTTAAGACTCACTCTCCATTTCCCCCAGCCCCTGGCAACCACTAATCTATGTTCTGTTTCTATGGATTTACCTATTCTGGACATTTCATGTAAATGGAATCATGTAATATGTGATCTTTTATGTCTGAGTTCTTTAACTTAACATGTTTTTAAGGTTATCATTGTTGCATGTATCTGTACTTCATTCCTTTTTATGGCTGAACATTCCATTGTATGTTATGTGTAGTCCACAATGTATTTATCCATTCATAAGTTGGTGGACATTGGAATTACTCTACTCTGGCTTTTTGAATAAAACTACTATGAACATTTATGTACAAGTTTTTGTTTGAACATGTTTTCACTTCTCCTGGGAAAATATACCTAAGACTAGAATTGCTGGGTCATATGGAAATTAATCCTATGTTTAACTTTTTGACGAACCATCCCTTCCCTTTTAATGCTACGTAAAGTGCCTAGATCATGGTAATTATTCAAGACATGCTAAATTTTATTGTCATTATTATTATTCCTGTGTTATAGTCAAATTGTAAAAAGTTTTTTAACGGGTCTTGTCCTTTGTTTTTTGCTCTTAGATCCTGTAGATAAATGCACTAATGTACATACATTCTATTGGTAGATGTTTGGTTTTTCTTGAAATTTATTTTGATCTTTGAGTACACATTTAGGTTCTCCTGGGTATTGTAAAATCTGGAAACTGAGCAAGGGGGGCAGTATTGTGAAATGAAAATCTAGAGGCAACAGCAGAGTAAACCAATGGAGTAGAATAATGTGCTTCTACCAGGGAGGGTCAAGGGGACTTGAGGATTTCCTTTTCCTTTTAACTTGCTGCTACCAGACCTGCTTGGGTGTGTGGTGATTAGAAACTTAATAGGCTGGGGCCCACTAGTAGAGGAGGAAGAAGAATTTCTGTGGCTATTGAGATAGTTAAAGATTATCTTGAAAGTCTTTTTTAAAATATGCTAACTCAAAGGAGAATAAGTCATTGTTCTCTGTGATGTGGTAGGAGTAGGCAGTAAGTGAAATCCTTTTAGATAGTACTCAGAAAAAGCTTCCTATCTGTTAAACTTTAATTCACACAGCAAGGCAAATTAAATTAGACTCTGGTTTTTGTCTTTTGCTTTTTGAATCATCATATATGTGCCATTTAACCCAAGAGAGAGGAGTGGTAATAAGTTGGATAACCTTATGATTCATTGTGTCAAATCTCTTAACTATAATCTGAGGAATCTATTAAGTTTACTTAGTCATACAAATATTCTTCCCAGAGTCGCCTCCACTTTCTTTATATAAATGAGCAATGATTCAGAGCCTCAGGAAAATGAAGAGAATAATTTCTCCTTTTTAAACACATGCTAATAATAGTTATATGAGTTTGTACTCCATATTGTGCTGATTAATTCCCATGGCCTCTGAAAGGGATTGGCAACTCTTGAATCAGACAGCTGTCAAATGCATATTATTAGTGGCATCCAATGAGGGGGTAAATATGATTTTAGTCATGTATGTAGTACTTCAAAATGTGACCCTTCTTTTTTATACTTTAAAATGTAGCAACACTTACTTGAAAATTCAAGTCGTCTTTAAGCAAATTAACTGAAACAAAATTTTAGAGGAATTTTTCTTCCAAAAAGGATATCAAGTGTCATATAAAATGTAGTTTATATCCTCTAAAATGAAAGGATATATAACTTTGGACTTTGGGAAAAGTCAGTGAATCTTCTTTTGGAAGAAAGACTATCTTCTTGTCCCAGGAATGATGATAGCATGTCTCGGGTGCCTTCATGTTGTGTCCCTGAAGGTAGCTGGCTAGAGATCTGAAAATGTCTAGGCAATGTAAAAACAAGATTCTACTTGAACTGCAACCAGTCTTGAATTTTAGTCAAAATATGTATAGCTGGATGGCCCTGATTTGAACTAAGACCTAAACTAGAATCTAAGCTCATTATTTACTTACTTTGGCTCATTCCTGTTTTCTCAGATTGATGACAAAAAGTACTTTTATTACCCATTGGGACTCTTTTTCTAATCTATAACTAGGCATACACAGGGGCCTTTGGTAACAATCCTCAAGATCTCTGAGACACCAATATGAAGAGATTCAAAGCCTTTAGCTGGGAGAACTAACACAACTCTGCTAACTTTTTTTGTGGGGTTTTTTTGTGTGTGTTTGTTTGTTTGTGCACAAAGGTGTCCACACCCTGGCATCCTCCAACTGTGCTCCTGGGTCATTCTCAAGAGGTCACATCTGTGTGCTGGTGTCCGTCAGATTTCACAAAGGTTTGTAAACAAATACCCATAGTTGGTTTAAAAAGTAGATAATAGATTTGTGGTTTTTCTCAAGGTTAGTTTGAGATCTATATAGACTTTCATGCTTAAATAAAGATTTAAAAGAACTAGAGGTCTTCCAAGATCTGTTCAACATTAACTATACATATTCTACTTTTTTTTAACAATAGAGAAATTGTATTATGCAATAAGGTAAAGGATTGATTTCTTGGTTTCCTAGAGTCATTCCTTTCATAAACATAGAATTAAGTTTTTAATCTAATTAAAACAATCTTAAACTCTAAGGTAAGAACTTGTCTTTTTAGTTTTCTATGTATTAGAAATGTGGTGTATTGAAGGTAACATCTTGACTGTTCTTCACAGTCCCGCTTGGGCTTCACATGCCTAAAAAATGCTTAGTGTGAAGTTCTACTAGGTTAGGTTATCTGTGGCTAAACTACACAAGAAGTAGTTTCAAAATGTTTTAGATGCTCTGGAAAGAAGAAAATACTGTCACTTAAAAAAAGAATGTTTTAAGTAGTGAAGATAGATAAATAACCTGAAATGTAGAAAGGCCAGAAACATAAACAAACCCCTACATGTATAGGTAGGGGGTTTCACATAATATTAGCCCAAGTTCTACTCTCTCCCAGCTCCTGCTGCCTCTGGTCTTTGGGTTATTCTGGGCTTATGCAAAATCTCAGTTATGTGGAGGACCATCTCTCTCTCATCTTGACATTTTAAGGTTTTGTTGCCTATTGTTCCCATCTGTTATTTATCTTCCAGAAACTTCTCATGGTCTCATCTACTCTGGCATCTCTACTAGCCCTGTCTAGTGATTTCTGTGGTCAGCTTCACATAGACTTTTTAAAAAAATCATTGCTTTAATTACTAATAATTACATTGACATTACACTAGTGACATTTTCCTCTGAGATTCCATGTTATTTACAGTGAAAGATCTTTTAACATGAAGTTCTGTGTCATCATAGAACTTATTAAGGTGATTTCTTTAGTGGCTCAGTTAATTGTGTCATCTCTTTGCAGCCATCATCTGTTGCCTCTGTGCACAGAAAGAAGAGGCAGGGCTGTTTTCCAATGCTAATCTAATGACCGCCTTTTTAAAAAGTTCTTTGAAATAATTTTGTCCCTAGCCTAGAGTTAGGAAGGTAAAATATGGTTTTAAAAAAAAGAGATCTAGCCTTGGAAATTGGAAAAATTTGGATTTATTAGATCTGCCACTCAATTATGGTGACCTCAGACAAATAACTTTATTCCCATTTTATAGATGAGATTATTTAAGTATGAAGATTTTTATATTGTGAGAATTAAATAAGATAAAGAATGCAAATTGTCAGACACACAGGTGCTCTATAAATAATAACTCCTGTTAGTACTGACTATAGAGTAACTGGGGATTCCAGGCATTTTTTGTTGAGCAGTTAAGTATGTGTCTTCTTTTGGCCTCCCAGTAAGGAAAGGAAAAAGCTGCCAGTCTCCTGGGGGCCAAGACTTAAGAGAACGTGTGTGTGTGTGTGTGTGTGTGTGTGTGTTTCTATCTCTTTAGTGACTGAAATAGAGAAATTATATAAACAAATGCTGGGAAATAGCTCTGGTACCAGTGGCCATTTGCCACAAGCTCTTCAAGCTGGACTTTCTCTGCCATAAAAGGCTTGGGACCAAGATCAGGAATGGCCAGATATTTTTAAAGGGGCAAAGGTTATTTTTAACTTCTTTCAGCTTAGTGAACTTGTTTTACCATATTGCTCCTTTTACCTATCTAGAAAAAGTCTCAGGATTGGTTTCATTCTGCTTGTCACAGCCTACTAGAGTCATGAACTAAGCCTGATCTTGGAACTGATCCCATTACTTCAGCAATAAGCCAGAACATGCAGAATTCAGAAGAAAGTTTTAGAAATTGAAAGTCAGTAGCATACACTGATTGATCATCTGAGGGAAAGAGAAAGCAAAAAGTGTTTCTTAATGAAATATTTCATAGTTACATAGAAGATGGTAAAGATAATGACTTGCCCAACTTATTGAGAGTAAAATGAAATGAACCTGGTTTATAGAAGAGCTTTAGATTAATAAGAGATGACTGGTAACAAAAGACATACTAGCAGGATCTGTATAAAAAAAGAAACTAGAGAATTCACTTCTTTGGAAATCTGCAATGATTCCTAAAAACAAGGGATAGAAATATCTTTCAGATGCCGTTTTCTATATCCTGTTATATCAAGCAAAATAATTTTCCAGTCATGAGCCCTTAAGACACATGTACTTCACTTGTCACAAATCTTTGATTAAAACTTAACTCCCTTTCTGGTTCTCATTAGATTGCTACCTGCTCTGATGACAATACACTGAAAATCTGGCGCTTGAATAGAGGCTTAGAGGAGAAGTCAGCAGATAAGCTCTCCATAGTGGGTTGGGCCTCTCAGAAGAAAAAAGAGGCAAGAGCTGACCTAGGTAAGGATCCCATACATTTTTCTACATTTGTTTATGTTTTGATTGATTTAATTCTGCTATGCAGAGTGGTAAGGTAAGATCTGATTTTGTGTTGGTATATATTTTTTTAAGATTTTATTTATTTATTTTAAGAGAGAAGGAGAAAGAGAGGGAGGGAAACATCGATGTGAGAGAGAAACATGAGTTGGCTGCCTCTCACACACCCCTAACCAGGGACCTGGCCCACAACCCAGGCATGTGCCCTGACTGGGAATCAAACCAGCGAGTGACCTTTTAGTTCACGGGCCAGTGCTCAATCCACTGAACCACAATAGCCAGGGCTGTGTTGGTACAGTTTTAAAGAAAAATATCTTCTTGACATTTTTCTTTTCAGTAAAAATTTTTTGAATACTACTATGTTTGTCATCTACACAAGATACTTCAATACACTGGTGGTTTTATTTGTAAAATATTTATTGAATGCCTACTATATGCTAGGCACTGCTCTAGGTTGCTGGGGATTCAACAATGAACTAAAGAATCAAGAATTCCAAAGATGTAAATGGAGGTTACATGTTAGCATGAGAGACAATAAACAAATTAAAGACATATTAAAACAAATATGTACTATGCCAGATAACGGGAATGCTTAGGAAAAAGGGAAGGGGGCAGATTGGCAAAGTGTGCTATTAAAATTTTAAATGAGGTGCCCAGGGATGCCTCAGTGAAAAGATGATGTCTGAGTAAAGAAAGTGAAGTAGGGAACCACGTGGATGTTTTGGCAAACAAAAGAGCAAAGGCAAAGACCCTGAAGCAGTAGCAGACCTGGCCTACAGGGTGGACAAAAGTAGCTTACAGTTGTAAGTACACAAAACACAGAGCTTATTCTTGTATTATTTATTAATTATTGTATTTTATTCCATATGAACAACTGTAAATGTACTTTTGCCCCACCCTGTATGCGTGTACCATAAATACACCTATTTCAAGTATACAGTTCGGTCATCTTTAATATATTCAGAGCTGGGCAGTCATTGACACAGTCTAAATCTAGAGTATTTTTAACACCCAAAATTAGGGTTCTGATTTCTCCTTATCCTTACTAACATTTGTTATTGTTCATCTTTTTTATTTTAACCATCCTTGTGAGTGTAAAGTGCTATCTCATTGTAGTTTTGGTTTGGATTTTTCTCTGATGGCTAATGATGATGAACATCTTTTCATGTGTTTATTGGTCATTTGTGTATTTTTCTTCAAGAAGTACCTGTACAGATTCTTTGCCCATATTTTAACTGGGTTATTTGTCTTTTTATTGTTAAGTTATAAACATTCTTTATCTATTCTGGAGTTAAGTCCCTTGTCATATAGTGACTTGCAAATATGTTTTTCTTACTCTGTAGGTTGTCTTTCATTTTCTTGGTGTTGTCCTTTGACACACAAAATTTTCTAATTTTCATGAAGTACAATTTATCTCTTTTTTATTTTGTCTTTTGTGTTTTTGATGGTGTGTCTAAGAAACCATTGCCTAACCCAAGTTCACAAAGATTTACTCCTATGGTTTTCATCAAGCTGAGTTATTTTACTTTAGAGCTATATCCAATTTGTGTTTATTTTTGTGTACAATGTGAGACAAGGATCCAAATTATTCCTTTGCATTCTGGATATCCAGCTTTTTCTCAGTATCATTTTTTCAAGAGACTATTCTTTAACCCATTGTTTTGGCTTCCTTGTGAAAATCAAATGACTGTAAGGGTTTGTGTAGTGTTTGTTTCTGGACTCTCAATTCTGTTCCATTGATCTATTGTGTATGTCTGTCCTTACGTTGGTACCACATTGTCTTGATTACTGTAGCCTTGTGGTAGGTTTTGAAATTGGAAAGTCTGAGTCTCCAATGTTCTTTTTTCTTCTTTTAAGATTGCTTTGACTATTTTGGGTCTCTCTTATTTCTATATAAATTTTATGACCATTTTGTCAATTTTTGCAACAAAATCTCTCTGGGATTTCTAGGGATTACATTGAATCTGCAGACCAGTTTTGGTAGTATTGTGTTACCCATGTTCAATGCATCTAATCCATGAACATGGGATGTCTGTCTGCTGCTTTGCCTTTATATGTACTTTTCCTTCCCTAATTTTAGAAAACATAAAAGAGAAGAATCATACGAGGGAAAAAGCCATCAGTATTTCTACTCATGGAGAATTTTAACATTTTGAGTGTTTTTTCAGATTTTTTTCCTTTATATTCTTAACAGAGTCACAGTTATATTCTATATACATTTGAATTACTTAGGGATTTTTTTCATTGAACATAATGTTCTAAGCACCTTCTATGTTATCTTTTTAACAAAATGTAAAATAGTCCACTGAGTTAGTGGTCCATTATTTACCTGACTGTTCTTGTAGAGTTGGACATTTTGCTTCCAATATTCTGTGAAAATTATTTTATAATTTAGGGTCCCTCCTTCCATTAAAATAGATTTCCAGAGGTGGATTTTCCGTGTCAACAGCTATAAACATTTTAAGATTTTTGATGAAAAATATGTTGCTTTTAACTTTATTTTTAGTATGTCACTAATTATTCTTAATTTTGGAATCCAAATCCCCCCAAAAAGTTCCACATATTGACCAAATTTGGATCATAGTAATAACGACGTATAGCCATTGTTGAGTACTACACAATTGTTCTAAGGACCTACTTGGATAATCTCAGTTAATTCCCCAAACACCAAACTGAAGCTCAAGGAAGTTGGACTTACCTAAGAGGACACAGGTGTGAAGCTGAAGTAGCACCAGAGTTGAACCCTTGTAGTCTGATTCTAGAGTGTGTGTTTGGGAGCACTCTACAGTACTGCCTCCTGTAGAACCCAACACAGCAAAGCTAAGTTCAAATTAAGACCAAACCAGGAGTTATACTAGTTTTCTCCACCTCTGAGTGGTGCTGGAGTCGCTCTGAGTAGCGCTACAGACTGACAACCTGACGTGAGTGCCGAAGGCCAGCACACTGACCGTTCAGTCCTAGAAGCCACCATCTGGCAACAGATTGGCTGCTGCTAATCACACTGCCATTTTGAAAATTATGTTCCTCTGTTTTCCCAGTCTTCTCATGGCCACCCCAACTTTCCTGACTGTCCTGGACTGCATTGCATATCTTCTCTTCTGGCCCTTTTAGCAACCAGCTGGAAGGCTTTATATCCCAAGACACAGCCCCTTTTCCCTCTGCCCTACTTTTCCCAGCCAGTACCTGCTCTGTGGCTTACTATTCTTTCACTGTGTCAGCCGGAGATCTGACAAGGCCAATGGTTCTTGACCCTGGCTGTGTATTGGAATCACTTGGGGGGCTTTTTAAAAGTTTGTGTGTCACATAAATTGCTGGGTCTGGGATTGAGGCCAATTACCTGTACTTTTTTTTTTTTTTTTTTAATAAAGCTCCAACTAAGTCTGATTTGTGTGGCTAGTATTGAGAACCACTGGTCTAGGCATTACTGAGTGACAAAGATGATAATCCTTATCTTGAAGAGAAGGAGACCTAACCTGTTCTAACTTAAGTGCTTGCTGCACTCTTGAAAGTCAGCAGAATGTTTACAGAGTCCTTTGTTGTTGTTGTTGATGCCTGGAACCTCAGTCTCATCTGTCTCAGTGGTAATGAAATTTAACAAACATGGTTTGATAATTCCTGGCTGGGTACATTTTAGGCACTAGACCTAAAAATGACTAAATCATCATCACCTGCCCTTCAGGTGCTTGCAGTTTAGTCCAGGAGGCAAATTCTTAGAAAAACAAAAAAATAGCTATAGTATATTGTAAACATTACTCCTAGCTATATAAACAACAGCCCTGCAAACCCTTTTCCTGTGGAGAGAAGAGCTGTATGAGAGAGGAGGAAAGAGGTTTGTGAATTGTCATCAGAGCCTGGAAACATGAGGAAAATTTTTGCCTGGCAAAGAAGGGGCAGACTTGGCACGAAACCCACATGAATAAAGACAGAGATGTGACAGTGCACAGCCTGTTCAGGAAGCAGTGAGTAGTATCCTGTAACAGGATCCTAAAGCAGTGTAGTATGTAATAAGATTGAAAGGTACAGTGAGGCCAGGTGGCAAACCCTTATGTAAAAAGAAGCTACAAATTGCATGATTACTTGTAAGCTTTCTATGTAATTTTTTGAAGGCACTAACTTTTCAGACACCTTTAGAGCAGTAACCCAGCCTGTACTGTGTCATCAGATCTCATGCAGTGCTTTGGGTTAATAGGGATTGATGCATTTAAGTAGATGAAGTGCTATATGGCATGTCATACTTGAATCTATAGGTCAATATGGTGACATACTATCCAGCTGTTAAAGAAAAGCATAATGGATCTAAGCGTACCTTCATGAAAAGATATCAAAAGATACACTGTTCAGAGAACAGCAAATTGCAGAACATGTGTGTTTAATGATCCATTGTGTTTTTTAAGGCATATACATATACCTTTGTGTGTGCTAATAAGCTCATAGAAAATTGTGGAATGCGCATATAAGTGAAAGAAGAAGCTTGAAAAGGACTTTTTGCTGTTTGCCTTATTCCCCTCTATAATTGAAATTTTTTAACATGAACTTGTATTACTTTTATAATCTAATTGCTATTAAAAATTTTAAAAAGAAAGAATTTAAATTTGACCCAGAGTTTAAGTTCTGTTAACCTTCAAAGTTAACAAAATCTGCTCTTTGACCCCTACGATCTATTTCTCCATTATAACATCCTGAAGGAAAAGAAATGCCCCAACTTTCCACCACATCACACTTCCTACTGACCTTTGGTAAACACTTCAGGTGTCTGCCACTGACATAACGGAAACTTACATACCTGCTTTTTCTTCTGCCCTAGTCCTGCCTTCAATCTGCATGTTGTTGTAAGACATCCTGTTTTAGGACTTTCTGCCCTAAACATTCACTTCAGCCCACCTTAATGGCACTAATGACTGTAGGGCTGTGCAGTGACTGTTGACTTGCACTGAGAAGTGTAGCGAATGAAAAGTTTCTTTCTGTTTGAAATAATAACTATAATCAAGCTCTGGAACATGAATGTCAGCTCTATCGCTAGATGCCCCACGGACAGGCCTCTGGCTCTACCTCCCCTCCCATAGTACATTATAACAAAATGGGGTTTTCTAGTGTTGACCTTTATGGAAGGAACGGTATCATTTTGGCCATTTCTAAATGTGGTTTATGAGAAAAGTTTAAGCAATTCAGTGGTAGAATTTCTCTTATCTCAAGGCAAGGCTGCTTGAGTAGTGAAAGCACAGGGTAAAATGTACAGGGTAACTAAATGGCTGAACTTAGTCTTCCTTCTAACTAAAAGATGGTATTTTTATGTCAGGCCATTCTAAATTCAGTTGCATATAAATGCAATTAATTATTAAACTGAGTTAAAATATCAGAGCTATAGTTCAAAGACTTTATGGCCAAGAAATAAATAGATGTTTTTTCCTTGTTATTTGAAGACAGAAACACTATTCAGAAATCTAGGAAATTCAGAAGGAAAGTAAGAAAATACAGTGTTGTCTGGTGGGGCCTCAGGGGGGAGAAGCATACGGTTTATAAGAATTTGCCTGAAGGACTTGCCATTGCTTATAAACAAGGGGCAGGACACACAGAAAAGAGTAATACCCACTGTTTAATTTGCTTTACCAAGAGCAAGCATTGAGTTTCTGCAATGTTCTTTGGCTTGTGAAGAATAGTAGCCATGTGTAAATTAAAGTGGAAAACCACATGGGGCCTGATAACATTAAGAATTTGATGGAATACTTGTGTAGATTAAAAACTGTATTTAACAAATAGGCCCTGGCTGGCATAGCTCAGTGGATTGAGCTCGGGCTGCAAACCAAAGTGTTGCAGGTTCGATTCCCAGTCAGGGCACATGCCTGGGTTGCAGGCCATGGCCCCCAGCAACCGCACATTGATGTTTCTCTCTCTCTCTCTCTTTCTCCCTCCCTTCCCTCTCTAAAAATAAATAAATAAAATCTTTAAAAAAAAACAAATAAGGAAACTGAGGCAGAGGAGCTAAAGGATTGTGTTCAAATCACATAGATTACATGCCCAAGTAAGTATAGGAAAGACACTAAAATTGGTTCACCTAGACACTTTCAATCTTTTTTTTTTCCTGAATTTTATAGATTTTTACAAGTATAAGTTTTAAAGTAGGACACTTGGGAGGCTGGCAGTTAGGAAAGGGGAAGGAAGAGGCTAAGAGGAAATGGTAAGAATCAAATGATTTATATGATCGATTCTCTGGGAAATCAACCCCTGGGTGATTAAGTTACCTATAATTTTCCTTGATGCAGATTCAGGGATTGTCTTTGGCTTTCACTTCTGACTTTTGTGACCCTCTTTTCTTTTATAGGAACAGTGACAAGTGGCCAGAATACTCCTGCCAAAGCCCCCAGAGTAAAGATCAGTCCATCTAGTTCCTCCCCTTCCTCAGCAGCCTGTGCTCCGAGCTGTGCAGGAGACCTCCCTCTTCCTTCCAATACTCCCACATTCTCCATTAAAACCCCTCCTGCCAAGGCCCGGTCTCCCGTTAGCAGAAGAGGCTCCATCTCCTCTGTCTCTCCCAAGCCACCCTTATCTTTCAAGATGTCCATTAGGAACTGGATGACCCAAACACCTTCTTCATCACCACCCATCACTCCACCTGCTTGTGAGACCAAGATCATGTCTCCAAGAAAAGCCCTCATTCCCGTGAGCCTGAAATCATCCCAAGCAGTGGCTTGCTCAGAGTCTAGAAATAGAGTGAAGAGGAGGCTAGACTCAAGTTGTCTGGAGAATGTGAAACAAAAGTGTGTGAAGAGTTGCAGCTGTGTGACTGAGCTTGATGACCCAGTTGAAAAGCTTCATTTGGATCTGTGCTGCCTTACTGGCAACCAGGAAGACCTTGGTAAGGACTCTCTAGGTCCTACCAAATCAAGCAAGATTGAAGGAGCCAGTATGAGTGTCTCAGAGCCTCCTTCTCCTGCCAGTCCTTATGCTTCAGAGGGCTGCGGGACACTATCTCTTCCTTTGGGATCTTGTGGAGAAGGGTCTGAATTGGTAGGCAAAGAGAATAGCTCCCCAGAGAACAAAAACTGGTTATTGGCCATGGCAGCCAAACGGAAGGCTGAGAATTCATCACCACGAAGTCCATCATCTCAGACCCCCAATACCAGGAGACAGAGCGGGAAGACTTCTCCAGGCCCGGTAAGTCAACAGTGGTGGTAAGATGCATTTCCTAACTTGAACAGGGCAGGTACAGATCCCTTCTCAGAAGTCAGGATGCTTTTAGGTAAATCTGTTTATTTTAGGGTTGCCAGACTTAGCATGCAAAAATATATAGGACAGAGATTGCTAAACTTTTTATACTACAAATTATTTGTTTGAAATTCAAATGTAACTGGGTGTGTGCTGTACTTTTAACTGGCAACTCTATTTACTCCCATTAAAGTCACTCCTGTTAAGGTCCATACTCCTCAGCCCTGCTGCTGTCTGATCCATCAAAGCCTCCTTATCCTCCAGGATATCAGTTCAAAAATATCTTCATCCCCTCTGTTTGACAATATTTCCCTCCCTGCCCCCTTTTGCTTATTTTCCTCAGCCTCAAGCCCTTGGCAACACCTTTTGATAGACTTCTTCCCTTTTTACAAGTGCAGGCTCCTTCTAGATTTTAATGATTATCCCTTATCTCTTACAGTTTCCTTGCTCACACCAATGTTTTGGCAACTCACCTGTATCTACACTTTATTAAACATCAGCTTAGTTTTACGTATCTTTTTAGGGCTCTTATTTTTCAGTTGATATACTATTTAAAATTAGATAATCTCGAAAAGCAGAAACTGCTGGCAGAAATAGATTTATAAACCTTAAAAATCAAATGACTCATTATAATGATGGAGGCAGAAGTAGCTGAGAGCATTAGGTGAGCCATGGGCAGCAAAGGGAATAAAGTTTCTGTTAATCAGTTTGTCAGTTAAGGGGCGGTGGGTTAAGGAAATTTCTGTGCAGTCCATAGTAGCTTGTGCTCTGTGTTACGGAGAAAGTGGTAGAATGACTAAAATGCAATCCAGAGATCATGACCAGCAACATCTGCCCTTTTAAAAAGTAGAAGCTGGATAACCTTAGGCCAGCTCTGTCACCCACCTACTATCATGAAGCCTATCCCATAATTTTAGTAATAAATTAGAAGTATTTTAAGATTCCTTCAAACACAAACTTTAGCTAAGACCTTGCTACAGAGCATTTTCAAAGAGTGTGCTGGTTTAAGATACTTCTAGTGTTAAAACAACAAAATTCAACAATTCATGAATCAAACAGCATCCCATCTAGCAAACATAAAGGAGTCCTGAAGGGCTATACAGAATCAACAGCTTTTTGTATTATCAGTGACTCAAAAGAGACAGAAATATCTATTTGTTGTTCCACTTATTTATGCATTCATTATGCCCTGGCTGGGTATTGAACCCTCAGTCTTGACATATCAGAACAATGCTCTAACCAACTAAAATATGTGGCCAGGGCAAAATAAAAGACTTTCAAGGACAGAAAGGAAGAAGGGAAAGGAAAATTGAAAGAATGAATTATTTCAGACAAGGTCTCTTTCTTTAGGGGAAGGCAGGGGGTATCAAGCAGATTACCTCACTGGCATTAATCAGGAAATTCCAGACTGGTTAAAGGTTACATTCCTGGGAGAGGCTGAAACTGCAAATGGGTTATATATTACTAGTCTTGTTTTGCTGAGGTGGGGCTTAGCACCTGTGACTCCATTTTGGGCTTGTTTCTTTTTTAACACTGGTTATTTTTTCAGTCTTTGAAGCTAAAGTTTCTTTAAGTTTTTTTGTTTATGTACACGATAATGTAGTCTTCTTCAGATGAGGGTAGTTAGTAGCTGCCATTTGAATACCTATTGTTTTAAATTTGAGAGGGTAGTTTATTCATTTCAAAGAAGATAGTAGTTTTAACCTCTTTGGTTCCAACTAGGAGGTTAAACTGGTAAATATTTCTGTTCATGTGAAAGTCCCTTCCTTTCTTCTTTGTATACTGTCTATTAAATTTTTTTTTATTTTATTTAGTAAAAATCAACCAAAAGTGACATTGTCATAAAAGTATTTGAGACTGAAAGTTGGCTGACATTAGTCAAATATCTAGGCATCCTAACATAAAATATCTGCTAGGGTAACAGGTAGACTTTTATCTCAGAAAATGTCTGAAATCTAAACTTTCTTCTTCTAGGTCACTATTACTCCCAGCTCCATGAGGAAAATTTGTACATACTTCCACAGAAAGTCTCAAGATGACTACTGTAGTCCTGAACAGTCAACAGAATTATAGATCTTAATCTGAGTAAGTTAACTGAACTTTGGCCCATTTAAACAATATAAAAATACAACAGAGTGGCTCTATAAGAAAGCCACCATTTTTCATTTTTAGAGACAATCCTTTCAAACATTTTCAATAAGTAGTCGTCGCTTTTTTAATTATTCATATTCTCTACTATAATAACATACCAGCATATAGAGGCAAAAAACAAGACTTGTCTCTTGTTACTCTGAGACTTTCTATGCACAGTGTGAGGTGCCTGCCGGCCAGAGCAGGAGGCCTGTCTGGGAAGGCCCGCTGCCGAAGACCCCGGATCTGTGCTGCCTCCAGCAAATATACTCGCATTTAAAATATATACTCTTTCCACTCTAACTCCTTCTGTTTGGTTTTTTTAGTATGTGTAAAAATGTGATGTTCAGATAAGTACATTTACGTTGATTTAGCGTGTGATTCAATGATAATAGTCCCTTTAGTTAAAATCATTTTTACTTTAAAGACAGTCAACTCTGGAAAAAGTAGAACAACACTAGAACCCTTATTTGTATTTTTCCCCAAATATATCTCCCACGTGAGATTTAAGCTCCCCATATTTTTGCTAAGCAATCTGCTATGTTACCAACTCAACATCATGCTCTATAAGAGGTTGTGATTTTTGCCATTTACAAGAGGAGATGTTTATAAACTCAGTAACCATACACTGAAGCTTGGGTTTGAATTCAGTCCTCAGTTCTCTGGGTGCTGCGACTTTAAAAAAAATAGTCATCAGATTTTAAGAAAAATTATTAATATCTTATTGAAATTTTATAAAAGAAGATTGTTCTGAGCTGAAAATCCAGAACCTCAAAAATAAATCTTGGCTTTCACTTGCTTTTTTGGATTTTCTTTATATATATAAAAAGCAATTGCCTGCTAGTATAGCACTGAGTCAAAAAATCTTGGAATTTTTTATGCTTTTTTTAATATAGAGTATATAGACTAACTCTAAGTTATAATGTGCAAAATATCTTGAACATCCCTTCCCTTAATCAACAGTTGCATATCGATCATCTTGAGATGAACTGTTGTTTTATATTTTCCCCCATTGTAACCTCATAGCTTCATATACTTTCTATGTGCTGTGTCCTTGGGAGGGAGTGCCCTTGCAATCATGAAACTTGATTCATTTTATCTATATATTTGAGGACTGTGTAGACTTTCTTCATATTTTTGTGATACTTTTCAAATCTGTTCTAATGATAACTCTTTAATTCCTTTGATTCTTATAAGTTAAGTTTGTAACAACCAGAGCTGCCAAGGTCAGTTAAGCAGGGTTCTCCTGGTTTTATCCAAGGAGGAAAATAAAGGGAAGCCATAAAATTACTGTTTTAAAACAGAGCACACCAGTGTTACCTGAATATTTAGGAACTCTACATATATTTGGTTTTTGAATTTTGAGTGTTAGACTGGGGGACGGTGTTATTTATGATGAATCCTTGCCCATAATGCTGTCTATCTTTCTCTTGATTTGAAAGCCAGTAGGAAAATAATCCTTGAAAAAGGAAAGGATATCTAAAGTAGATGATTTTGTTCTTTGTATTCCTGCACATCTTCTGACAGCTATACTAAGTGAAATTGGGGCAAATGTGGCTGTCAAAAGTTGCTGAGAATCTGCTGGGTATAACATGTCTCTCTTGGAAACTAGTACTTCAAATGGGTGCCAAAGGTCAAATGTAATGAGATAATTATCCCTGTTATGTGTCAGTGTCAGACTCTGAGCTGATCCTGAATAATAAAGCCTTTTCCCTTATCTGATGTCCTTTTTTGAGCTTTTTGCATTAACCTAGAAGCAGTCTACACAAAAGAACTGCAGTAGTAATCAAGAATCTCTTCTGCTTGTTCATTGAAGAACATTTGTTTATTCCCAAGGATATGATCTAGTTCAAATTGAAAGAGGCTTTAATAAAGTACATCTCACTTGGTTAAACCTTGAGCACTTCGGAGGCTTGGATTACTTGATGAAGGAGGGTGGAGTGATGTAGAACTTTTTCTAAACAAGTATTTCCAGCCCAAGCGTTTCCATTTGAGTGCACTGCAAGCGCTGTTGCTGCGACACTGTGTTAGTTTCCTTTTGGCTGTTTCAACACAGGCCCTTAATTTAATTTTTTGAGGGTTCACTAATTAATCCTTTAAAACAGCTCTTTAATCTTGGCTTCACATTTAACTGATAATAATCAAGACCATGTGTAGCTAACCCTGTTGGACTGGCAAGGGATGGGTTCAGCTCATCACCCCCATCCTCAGCCCTAATAGCTTAAAACTTCACTAAGATTTTGGGACACCCTGTATAGGAGGCATTTTTAAAAACCTCCATTGTGTAATATGGATGTCTGGAGATAACTCTTTGAGAGAGAGAGAGCGAGCGCGCAAGAGAGAGAGATGACATTAGCTTATAGCCATGATCTCGTATTATAGGTCACACATCAATCAGTTCAGCACTTGCTTTTTGGGAGCCTATCATAGCAAACCCACTGCTGCTTTTAGGTCTGTTTTTCCTATTTTCCTAGTCCCAAGACGGTCTGGACGTCTTTTCACACTGCTCTTAAAGTCAATACCAAGTAGTCTTATAGAGCCAGTTCCACAAGTAGGTGGTATGGGCAACATTTTACAGACGTGTGAAAAGAGAGACTGAGTGAGAGTGTCGTCATACAGTCGGCCCTCTGTGTCCATGGGTTCTGCACCTGCGGGTTCACCCAGTCTCTGGTCAGAAGTGTTATGTTGTTGGCGGTATGTACAATGTAGTTAGGCCTACTATTGTTGCATCTATACTCAATACATACAGACTTCTTTCTCACCATTATTCCCTAAATAATACAGTAAGACAATTATTGTATAGCATTCCGTTGTATTAGGTATTACAGGTAATTTAGAGATGATTTAAAATACATGGGAGGATGTAAATTGGTTATATGCAAGTACTACTACATTTTATGTAAGGGGCTTGAACATCCACAGATTTTGGTGACTGGGCAAGAGGGGGCAGGTCCTGGAATCAGTGACACCCGAATACCAAGGGATGCCTGTCCTAAAAAACTGAGTTATTGTCCTTTTTATGGCAATTAAACCCAGGCAGTTTCAAACTGCTTCAAATTTTTATAAAAGGCTGCATGGAGGCCCAGCTGAGCTCTTGCTTGTCATAGCCCACTGCTTCTCACATAGGTCTTTATAGGAGGTTCTTTGCCTGGCTAGATTTGAATCATGCCAGATGGTGGATTAACCCTATTCTTAAATTCTGAGGAATTATGGAAAAACCTGCACTATTCATTAGGTCCTTAGATACTGGTTGGAAATTTCAGGCAAGCCAAACAACGCTTTGTTGAACATAAGGTGATCTAAAGTTAAGAAAAAAAAAGAATAGGCTTGTCCATCTCAAAAGCTCATCCCTCCCACTTCCCTGCTAAGCCAGGAAAAAGGATTTCAAGGATATATAACCAGGTTTTTTATTTTGAATTTTAAAGGTTTAATACTTCACTTATGCCCCATTTCTCTTTAATTTCCTTAACTTGCCACATGCCCCTTCCTGTTTTGACATTCTAAATAATTTATATTCAAGCCATTTTGTGAAATATGAATATCACATTTCAAAATGCCTTTGATTAAAAGGTGTTCAATTCAGCCAACACTGTTTATTCAGTACCTGGGGGCCAAGCCCTGTGTGAGGCACCTGGCCTGCAGAGTTCCTCCCTTTTCACTCATCAAGGACTTCACTGTATCTAGGGCACTTCGATAGGCAACAGTCAGTACTAGAGAGAAACAGGCAAGGATCGGATTTTTGAGTCTTTTGAGGGAAGTTGTTTGTGAACAGCCATTATGTACAAGTGCTGTCTAGATGCGGGCTCTCCCTCCAGAACTTCGTTCAACTGCTGTTTAGAGCACCTTTAACTTTCCAAAGTAAAATGCGTTTCTTGTGCGTGTTTTTGTTACATTCTTTACAACATTATAAATAATAGTTTAAAATATATCATCTTTAAAGCCAAGCTGCCCAGCTTTGAATCCAGGCCCTCGCTGTATACCTTGAGCAAGTTCCCTAACCTCTGTGAATCGGTTCCCTTGTCTGTAACATGGGATTGGGTGTCATTACATGTATCGCTCCTAGGACAGTACCTGGTATACAGTAGCCAACATTTATAAACAGTTACTGTCAGAATTATTCTCATAAGGTAGGGAAGGCAGGGGTTATTTGATAAATGGACATAAAGGTTTTTAAAAACTTTCCAGTTTTCCTAACTCATTTCTATCCCCTTTCTGCTAAAGCTGTGATCCTCAAAGCTACATTGCCTGGGCCTCCTAGTCCTAGCACTCAAAAAGAGCTAGTAGGCCTTTGGGGTATTTGACATGCATGACTCTTTCCCACCAGGTACACATGAAAATTATAGAAGTTATTTCATATATGGCCCCAGCCACTGTTTAGAGAGGCTATAATTTGCAAATCTGTATCCTGGACTTTTTTTTTTTTAGTGCCCTGACCAGGAAGCAAACCCCTAATCTTTTGGTGTACAGGGCGGCACTCCACCCAATGGAGCCACACCAGCCAGGGCTGTACCCTGGCCTCTTAAATGAGCCAAAGTTTTGGCTCTCACAAAGCCATCCTCCCACTTCCTGACTGCAGCCTCCAGCTCTGCTGTGCTGTCTAAGATGTACTCACCTTCGGGAAGGAAGCTGCAGCTGGCAGCCTTTAGAGCCAATGCTTGATCACTTGTTAGGCTTTTGTGTTCCCTGGTTAATCTCTAGGCAAATAAAGTCAAAAAGGTTTTTAATTAGTAGCTCTGATTTTGTAGGATATATAAGGGTCAAACGTTTAGTTGAAGAGTATTATGTAAACTCTAGATTCTTTATTCTCATTTAATGAGATTCTTCCCTGGGCTCCTTTTGGATGCCAGTAATACGTGTTGCCATTGTCACGTCAGTGCCAAAATACAAGCCATGAAAGTGTATGATATTTTGGTGGACAAACCCAGAGCTGGGGTTTCAGTTGGCATCTGAGCACCAAATTATGCTGCCACCATCCAGTTTACAGGGACTTACAATATGTGTCATTCTCTTACTAGGAGCTGGCACCTGCACCTCTGCCAGCAGTCCCACCATGCTGGATCTCCTTCGTGGGCTTGTGCCAGAGTTATCGATTCAAATGAATATGATGAGGGCTGATTTTTTTACTACTAACAGCCTTACTTTTAAAAACCACAGTCTAAAAGTAATTATATAAATAATGAGCCCTTTCCTCTAGCAGTTTATTACCGGGTGATACATGTTACTGAAACAAATTATAAATAAACCATTTGGCCTTGCTATATTGACATGAAGTTAGCAAATATTGTCATAACCCATCATTCAGTAATCATTAAGTATAACTGAAATAATAGTAGTACAGGAACTGAAAAAAAAAATAAAATTCACCAGGTATCATTGCCTCTGTAGTGGGTCAGCATTCAGCCCAACAGTTATGTCAAGCTGGAAATGTTGCTTCCTCAAAAGCCTTGTTGGATTTAGAGAGCTTTACATGGAAGTGAGATCTGAGTCCAAAAATCAGTGTCTTAGCAGACAAGTCAATATGAACATTAATAATTTCAGGGTGGGGGTAGGAAGAAGGTGGTTATAATAATTAGGGAGTTTCTTAACTCCCTAATTAGGTAATGAGGTGTTGGCCCTGAGGTGTTGCACATGTAATTAAGTATCTGGCTTTGGAAAACTACCTCCTAAGCCCAAGAAATGTAAGCGACAAAGTCTAGAATTATACATGGAATGCCTGCAGGATAAGGGAAATTAGAATGGGGTTCTCCAATGATTGGGAATGGTTTCTCTTCCAGCCAACTCTCCTTTACAGTAAATTGTACAAAGACAGGATGCCATGTAGGGCAGCTTGTTAATGTAAGTTCTTCTGCAGTGTTCTCTTGCCTTCTTGTTTACAGCATTTCCAGTCCCATTCACTTTCTCCTTTCATGTCATTTTGGCCAGTTGAATGAAGCCAGAGCTGTGGGTTTGATTCCCAAATGGGGCAATTTTCACTTCAGTGTTTGGTGGCCACAGGCAGCATGTCACATGCCTACCCTGGCCAGCCACCCCACAAAGAAGAGTGAACAGTGTTTAGGCTCACTATAAACCCTCCATACAGACTCAGTGTGCATCCTCACTACACAACCTGAAGGCATTTTGAATGCCTGTCTTTCCTGCCTGAAGACCAAGTTTATAAACCTCTTTTGATCAAATTTAGGGATTGTTACGTGTAATACACACAATAACCCTGTAAGTGGTATAACTTTTATTCACATTTTGACAGTAAAGAAACTAAAGCACAAGAGAAGTTAAGGGCACACAGCCAGCAAATAGCTTGTGAATTTGGTCTGACTCGAAAGTCCACAGTAGTAATTCTCATAATGCAGTGCCTTGCAGAAAGAAGCCTGTCCCTGGCCCTGTATTAGTGAAATATAAGCTTTCCATTTTGTGTGCATTTGAAAGAACTCTCAAAATGTTCTAAATGCATTACCTACTTGAGTAATAACCAACAAAAAAATTTACTCCTTGGGAGAGGAACACTCAACTACAGGAGGAAGGTGACATACAGATCTAGAATCAGTACTGAAACATGTTCTAGGAATGCAAGAAGGTTGCCAAACTCAATCGAAAGTTGGAAAAACAGGGACAAAGGCACAGAAGTTAAAATTCTTTAGAAAAAAAGTGGAGAAAGGAGAGAATGAAGATGAAGACACATGCACCATACAACCCAACAGTTCCACCTGGCAC